ATGAAGTGGTGGGACCAGCAGTTGGCATAATGGCTATGTTGCTGGACTCCCATGTAGTTGACCGTGGTTCAAGTCCCGGACCTGGTGGCTTAAACTCACACCAGGTGTATGTGTGTGTGTGTGCCCAAGATCCCGAGAGGAGAATAGAGGAGAGGGGACTGCAGTGTGGCCATCCCCCTGGGGAGTGATTTCTCACTTCCTGTCTCTCTGTCTCTCTGTCTCTTTCTGGGGAGCGCACACACCCTACAGCAAAAACCTCTCAAAAAAAAGATGAGGTGGGAGTGGGTCTGAGAGTAAGTTATGAAACTCAGATTCTTTCCTAAAGCAGGGAGGACACTTTGGGCCTGACAGGAAAGCCAGTCACAGAAGGCAGGGCATCCACAGGTCTCTCCAGGAATTGAGTGAGGCAAGTACTGAGCAGTGAGACACTGAGTCACGGAAGTCAGGAGCTCAGACCTGACCCTCTAAATCTAGTTTTAGTCAAAGGAGAACACGAGTCTCAGAAGCCAAGGCAACCACAGAACATCCCCAAGACTGGCTCTTCCCACCCCCAGGGCTCTCCTTTCTGACCTTTGTGTTCCCTGCGGCCTTTGCCGGTGACACGGGAGAAGTCCATCCGGGGAGTCCGGGGCGTGGAGGTGACAGATGAGGGGGGAGCATCCACAGCCTTGGAGATCTTGGACACCGAGGCAAAGAGACCTGGGGGGACACAGCCTGGGCTTGGAGCTGTCCAGACCTTTGCCCTGGGCCGTGCCCTCACTCCGTAGCCCGTTACACAGTCAGCAGCGTTAGAACTACCGCATGGACACCCACCCACACCCCCCGGGCCCCAGGGGAACTGACCCTGCTTGGGAGGGCAGATGAAATACCGAACGCCCCCAACACTGCCATCGTTCTTGCCCTCAGGTTCATCCAGCTCCACGCCCACCCACTGGCCACTGGCGAACTCTGTCGTCCCGCAAAACCGCAGCGTGCCCGTCTGGAGAGACAAGGGAGGATACGCTTTGAGGGGAGGGCCTGGAA